GCCCGCCCACGCACCTTCGCTTCGCCCGCACGCACGCACGGCACGCACGACACGAACCCGAAACCGAAATCGATTTCCCGGTAGGGGGGGTCCGTTTCACGTCGGATTCCCCCCCCCAACCTCCGATATACACACGCACACACACACACACACACATATATATATATATATATATATATATATCTATATATGTGTGTATATATATATATATATATAGATACACGTATCTACCGGACCCCCCCTAAACCGGACACCCACCCAGGGACGCCCCGGTCGCCCTTTGGGACGTGTCGGCGGCCCCCTGGACGCCCTTGGAGAAGGTACGCTGGCCCTTCCGGGCCTCCCAGGGCGCCTAGCCGGGCCTTGCGAGCAGACTCAAGGCGATCCAAGGGGTCATCGGCGGGGCGCAACAATGACCCAGGTCAGCACAAGAGGGTTCCCAAAGGAACTTCGGTGGTCTGAGGACTGCCCAAGAGGCCCCCAAGATGCCCCAAGAGGCCGTTAAGAAAACCCCGAGGAAACAACAATCGTCTCATTCCTTCAAGAAGATGTGTATCTTCACCGTATCCGCTTTCCGGGTCTTCGCAGCGTCCAAGACGGCCCGATGGGCCCTCAATATCGCCCCGAAGCGGCCCAAGAGGCCCCCCAGAGGGCTTGAAGTCGGCCCAGGAGGGTCCCAAAACTGCTCCAGAGAGCCCCGAGACTGCCCACAAGAAGCCCAAAATGCCCCCAGAAGGCCCCCAAGAGAGACCCACGAAAGCCATGGGAGACCCTCAGGAAGGCCATTGGAAGCCCCCTAAAGGGCCCTAGATGGCTTCAGAGGATTCTTGGAGGGCCCCAGCTCCCAGAATTTCGCCCAAAAGCCCCTGGGATGGCCCAAGAGGGTTCCAGTACGGCCCAAATAAATTCCACAAACGCCCAGACGGCTTTCTCCTACGAAGTACATCGACCTGACCCGACGATCTCGGTTTCACGCTAGAGGCTCAAGGTTTAAGTTCTTCGATCCAGAGAGACAGGCACTGGATCTATATTCGAAGTTCGACGACCTAATATTTCCTGAGTTCCTGGGACCCAGGCATTCAGGAAACGACTGGACATCGATTTGTTCGGAGCTACTTCGCCTCATTCGGCGTGCCATGGGAACGCTCCCTACTTCCTGAAAGGACCTTCGCGCGTGCAGAAATCATCACCCTTTTCCCGCTCCTGCGCACAAGCGTGCCAGCGCATCGGGCGAAGAACGCGGTGTCAGCAGGCCCTTTGGATGTCAGACAATGAGCTGGCCGCCCGTCCAGGCCTGGAGGCCCCCCGCCTGAAGCAAGCGATGAGTTATGGCTTTGCCGGGGAGGGTCCGGAACAAGGGGCATGGCGTGAAGCGCCGATGCAGTCTTGTAGGTGTGTACATACACATTTTTTATATATACATATATATATATATATATATATATATATATATATACATATGTATGTATGTATGTATGTATGTATGTATGTATGTATGTATGTATGTATTTATGTATGCATATATGAATGCATGCATGCATGCATGCATGCATGCATGCATGCATGCATGTATGTATGTATGTATGTATGTATGTATGTATGTATGTATGTATGTATGTATATATGTAATGCATGTATGTATGTATGTCTGTCTGTCTGTCTGTCTGTATGTATGTACGTATGTATGTATGTATGCATGCATGTATGTATGTATGTATGTATGAATGTATGTGTGTATGCATGCATGTATGTAGGTATGCATGCATATGTAGGTATGTATGTATGCATACATGCATGCATGCATGCATGCATTTATGTATGTATGTATGTATGTATGCATGTATGTATGTGTATGTATGTATGTATGTATGCATGTATGCATGCATGTATGTATGTATGTATGTATGTATGTATGTATGTATGTATGCATGTATGTATGTATGTATGTGTGTGCGTGTATGTATGTATGTATGTATGTATGTATGTATGTATGTATGTATGTATGTATGTATGTGTGTATGTGTGTATGTATGTGTGTATGTATGTATATATATACATATGTATGTATGTATGTATGTATGTATGTATGTATGTATGTATGTATGTATGTATGTATGTATGTATGTATGTATGTATGTATGAATGTATGTATGTATGTATGTATGTATGTATGTATGTATGTATGTATGTATCTCTCTCTATATATATATATATAGACATGCTTATTGTCATACCAACCGGTGTGATCTCTCACTGCGTTGCTTCGACAGACCGACCGACCGTGCCGGGGGTGTGCGCTGGACTGGGACGTGTTGGGACGTGTGCTGGGACGTGGATGTGTGCAGGGCTGTGTGCTGCCTCCGTGGCTTCGTGTGCTGGGATACGTGCTGGGGTGTTGCCTGGGTGCGTGCCGCTCCCGTGTGCTGTGCCTGCCCCCCCGCGCCCCTCCGCCCCGTGTCTACGTTTGTTTATTCCGACCGACCGACCGACCGTGCCCCCCCCTCCGCCCCGTGGCCCCCGTCTGCTTATTCCGACCGACCGACTGTGCCCCCCCTCTGCCCGACCGTGCCCTCCCGTCCACGTGCTCCCCCCCGCGCCCCTCCGCCCAGTGGCCCCCGTTTGTTTGTCCCGAGTGGCCGACCGACCGTGCCCCCCCGCCGTCTGCCCCGTGGCCCCCGTCTGCTTAATTCTACTGACCGACCGACCGACCCCCCCGCCCTCCGGCGTGTGGCCCCCGCTTGCTTATTCCGACCGACCGACCGACCGTGCCCCCCCTTTCCGCCTTGTGGTCCCCGTCTGCTTATTCCGACCCACCGACCGACCGACCGTGCCCCCCCTTTGACCGTGCCCTCCCGTCCCCCTGATCCCCCCCGCGCCCCTCCGCTCAGTGGCCCCCGTTTGTTTATTCCGACCGGCCGACCGACCGTGCCCCCCCCCGTCCGCCCCGTGGCCCCCGTTTGCCTATTCCGACCGTTTGACTGACCGTGCTCATTTTCCGCTCCGTGGCCCACGTCTGCTTATTCCTACCGACCGACCGACGGTGCCCCCCCTTCCGAAGGACGCCCCCTCATTCTTGGAGGGCTCCTGGGCGCCTCGGAGCGGGCCGCACGTCCCTCGCACACGGGCGCCGCGCTGGGGATCCCGAGGTCCTTCTCGAGCGGGATTTGCAGCTTCACGGGTTGCTCGTCCCCCCCCCGATATTCACCGCTCACCAAACCACCCCAACCCAACCCGAAAGTACCGATTTGCCCTCCACTGCCAGTGGGCGGGGGGTCGGGGTACATGGACAAAATCCACACGACGCCCGTACCCCCCGAACCTGAAATTCGGGCGAAATTCGGGTCTTCGGGTTGGGTTGGGGTGATCTGGTAGGTAGTCAGATATCTTCCACGTGAGTGAGGAGAGCAGGAACTTCCGCCCCGTCTTCACTTCTGATAGCGATAGTTTTCCCAACCGTGCTGTGGTGTTGGGTCTTCGTTTAGAAGAGACGGTGCCCCATGTTTTTCTTCCTCCTGTTCCCACCTACAGCGTTTCGTGGCCTCATAGGGAGCTCCACCGAAGGTCCCAAGTCTACCGCCCGCATGCGCCCCCCCCCACCCAGTCGTGGCCCGATAGAGAGCTCCACCGATGGCCCCAGTGGCACCGCCCGCATGCGCCCCCCCGACCCAGCAGAGCTTTTTGTGGCCCCATAGGGAGCTCCACCGAAGGTCCCAATTCTACCGTCCGCATGCGTCCCCCCCACCCAGTACAGCGCTTCGTGGCCCCATAGAGAGCTCCACCGACGGCCCCAGTGCTACCGCCCACATGCGTCCCCCCCCACCCAGAATATCGTTTCGTGGCCTCATAGGGAGCTCCACCGAAGGTCCCACTGCTACCGCCTGCATGCGCCCCCCCGACCCAGCAGAGCTTTTTGTGGCCCCATAGGGAGCTCCACCGAAGGTCCCAATTCTGCCGTCCGCATGCGTCCCCCCCCCCCCAGTAACAGCGTTTTCGTGGCCCCATAAGGAGCTTCACCGACGGCCCCAGTGCTACCGCCAACATGCGTCCCCCCCACCCAGTACAGCGTTTCATGGCCCCTTAGGGAGCTCCACCGAAGGCCCTAGTTCTACCGCCCGCGTGCCCCCCCCCCCGACCCAGCACAGCGTTTCGTGGCCCCATAGGGAGCTCCACAGAAGGCCGCAGCGGCACCGCCCGCATGCGTCACCCCCCACCCAGTACAGCGCTTCGTGGCCTCAAAGGGAGCTCCACCGAAGTCCCCGTTGGCACCGCCCGCATGCGTCACCCCCCCACCCAGTACAGCGTTTCGTGGCCCTATGTGTAGTTCCATCGAAGGTCGCAGTGACACCACCCGCATGCGACCCCCCCACCCAGTACAGCGTTTCGTGGCCCCATAGGGAGCTCCACCGACGACCGCAGTGCTACCGCCCGCATGCGTCCCCCCCACCATAGGGAGCTCCACCGACGGCCCCAGTGGATGAACTAGCATGCGGTTCCCCCCCCCAGCACAGCGTTTCGTGGCCCCATAGGGAGCTCCACCGAAGGCCACAGTGGCGGTGTTCGCATGCATGCGTCCCCCCACCCAGCACAGCGCTTCGTGGCCTCATAGGGAGCTGCACCGAAGGTCCCAGTGCCTGCACAGGCGGATGCGCTTCTCCGCATGAGCCTGCACCGCCGCCTCGCTCGCTCGTTCCTCACAGGGGGAAGTGGGGACGGGTCCCTTCGTTCACAGTCTTCGTCTTCTCCCTTCCAAGTTTCATAAGGGAAAATACACCATTCATCGTCGATCCGCAGGAAAATATGGGAAGTGGGGGTGGGGGTATGACGACCCCCCAGACATTATGTGAACATGTGGGATAATCCTGGAAGTGGTGTCTATTTGCTTGTGTGTCCCTGGGCCCCTTTACAATCCCCTCCTTGCCTTGATCTGCTCCCCTGCCTCCCGCCTGACCCTTCGCCTGTGTGCCTGCAGCTCAAGTGAACCCTGCTGCCTTCCTGCCAAGGCCGAGCAGGCGCGCCAGAAGAAGATCGCCGGCGAGAAGCTGCTGGCGGAGGCGCGGCGGGGCAGCCTGCAAACTCGCAAGGAGACGACGCATGCCGGAGTGTTCGCACGGCATCGTGCTCGGCCACCACACGGACAGCGCTCCTCTCGATTCCTCCGATTCGATTCGATTCGATTTCGATGGACTCCGATTCCGATTCGATTCGACATCGGATTCCGATTCGGGATCCGATTTCGCTATGGAGGGTTACTGGCCTGCCGATGTCTACTGATTCGACTTTACCCGACTCGGCTGCCGATTTCCGCCAATCCGATTCATTTCGATCGCCGATTCGACTTATCGATTCGATTCTGGGGTCTCCTGCACGGATGGTGAAGGTCGGACGTAGGGATGCTATATGTGGGGAGTTTCGTCCAAGCCAATGCACTTGAAGAGCGCAATTTGTTTGGTAGAGTGTGTCTGTGCGCCTTCTTTGTCCCTGTCATCTGGCATTGACGCGCGTACGGTTAAGTCGGGCCCGTCCCTCTACAGGAGGCATATTCAAAAATAGTCAAAAGATAGTCTGGGTTTTCTTTTAGTAATCAAAATAGTCAAAATATAGTCCTTGAAAGGGCTCCGACCTAGGGTTCTCTTTTAGTATTGTTACCCCCGGTTTCGACTTGAAGGAGGCCAGCGGCATTATTTTGCGATAAATAACGAGCTTGAAGGAGGCCGGCGGAATTATTTTTGAGGACGTCCCGACCGAAACGCTTGTTTTCCAGAATTTGTTCAGGATTTCTCTAGCGAAACACTGGTTTTGCAGAGTTGGGGGATGTCTCGAACGACACGCTTGTTTCTCAGAATTTGTTGAGGATGCCTCGAGCGAAACGCTGGTTTTGCAGAGTTGGGGCTAACATGGCGTCGGGCCCAATGCCGAATTATGAGGAAACGCACGGGGGACCGAAAAGCGCTACCCGAACACGTGTCCCAATACAGAAAAGTTATATTGTCTTGCCCTGAACAGGGGGTTGCGCTTTGAGGGCCTCTCCAGCGGGAGCGCGAATTCAGCGCATCCAGGTCACGCAGGGAGGTATCTAACATGGCTGTCCCGAGCTGGAACCACGTGTTTTTCATGCTCAGGCCACCCAGGGAGATCTCTAACATGATTTTCCCGAGCTGGAACCATGTGTTTTTACGTGTCCAGGCCACCCGTGGGGTATCTAACATGGTTGTCCCGAGCTGGCACCACGTGTTTTTACGTGCCCAGGCCACCAGCACGACGCTTGTCCCCAGCACGTTCTGTAGGGCGTCCCCTTGGCACGTCCCGCAGTGCGTCCCCGTGGCACGTCCCCTGGCACGTCGCCTGGCGCGTCCCTTGGGACGTTCCGCGGCGCGTCTTCCTGCCATGTTCCCCTGTCAATTAGCTCTGGGGCAGCTACTATGTGCTTGGGCAGCTCGAGCTTAAGATCCAGATCAGTTCGGTCAGGACTCGGATGCAAAGGAGGACTCGATCCACAACGCTGTAGAGCACAATCGCTGCATGGCACATCGCAGTTCAGCACGGCGCTGCACAGCATAGCCCTCGGCACAGTACATCAAGATCGACACACTCACTCAGCATTGCAACCTGGCATGTTCTTTGGCACGTTCCGTGTTGCGTCCTGTGGCGAGTCCCCTTGGCACGTCGCGCGGCGCGTCCCCTGGCAAGTCCCGTGGCACGTCCATTGGCAACATTGGCACGTTCCGTAGCGCGTCCCCTCGGCACGTCCCGCGGTGCGTCCCCACGGCACGTCCCCTGGCACCTCGCTTGGCGCGTCCCTTGGGGCGTTCCGCGGCGCGTCTTCCTAGCATGCCCCCCTGTGAGTTAGCTCTGGGGCAGCTACTATGTGCTAGGGCAGCTCGAGCTTAAGATCCAGATCAGTTCGGTCTGGACTCGGATGCAAAGGAGGACTCGATCCAAAACGCTATAGAGCACACTCGTGGCATGGCACATCGCAGTTCAGCACGGCGCAGCACAGCACATATTTCGGCACGTTACATCAAGATCGTTACACTCAGCATTGCAACCTGTCACGTTGCCTGGCACGTTCCGTGGCGCGTCCCGTGGCGAGTCCCCCTGGCACGTCGCGCGGCGCGTCCTATGGCACGTCCCGTGGCACGTCCATTGGCACGTTCCGTAGCGCGTCCGTCCCCTCGGAACGTCCCGCGGTGCGTCCCCATGGCACGTCCCCTGGCACGTCGCCTGGCGCGTCCCTTGGGACGATCCGCGGCGCGTCCTCCTGCCATGCTCCCCTGTTAATCAGCTCTGGGACAGCTACTATGTGCTAGGACAGCTCGAGCTTAAGATCCAGATCAGTTCGGTCAGGACTCGGATGCAAAGGAGGACTCGATCCACAACGCTATAGAGCACAATCGCGGCATGGCACATCGCAGTTCAGCACGGCGCAGCACAGCACAGCCCTCGGCACGGTACATCAAGATCGATACATTCAGCATTGCATCTTGGCACGTTCCTTGGCACGTTCCGTGGCGCGTCCCGTGGCGAGTCCCCATGGTACGTCGCGCGGCGCGTCCCCTGGCACGTCCCGGCACGTCCATTGGCGCGTTCCGTAGCGCGTCCCCTTGGCACGTCCCGCAGTGCGTCCCCACGGCACGTCCCCTGGCACGTCGCCTGGCGCGTCCCTTGGGACGTTCCGCGGCGCGTCCTCCTGGCATGTTCCCCTGTCAATTAGCTCTGGGGCAGCTACTATGTGTTCAGGCAGCTCGAGCTTAAGATCCAGATCAGTTCGGTCAGGACTCGGATGCAAAGGAGGACTCGATCCAAAACGCTATAGAGCACACTCGTGGCATGGCACATCGCAGTTCAGCACGGCGCTGCACAGCACAGCCCTCGGCACGTTACATCAAGATCGATACACTAAGCATTGCATTTACCCGTCGCCCAGTCATGTGTCTTCGAAACGTTGCCATGTCTTAGATTTCTATATTCCTTTCCGGGTTCGTGGGTCGATCATGTTTGAGTTTTTTTGGACCATGTTGGAGTATTTTTGGTGTATTTTTCATTCTTCGTCGAAAATACCCTTGTAGGGGGGACACGCCCGACTTAAGCGTACGGCTGGGAGCGAGATAGTCACATGCCATTTCTCCAGCGCGTCGTGATGCTATGTTTGATCCTTCCTGGAGGTGCATGCTGTCAACAGCGCTGCAATGAAGATCAAGGAGGACAAGATGTTGGCTGAAAGGCTTGAGGAGGGGCCGGTCGTCTCTCGGCGAGGTGGAGGGAGGGACATCGGCGTCACCCCGAGAGTTGCGACCCGTTCGCTTCTTTTCTCTTTGCAGATTTTCGGCCACTGTATACGTGTAATTTACATGTGTAATCCCAGCGAGTCCGTCTTTCTCTACGTAGACGGCTATGTGTTCAGCTTCTGCATGTGTTTCGTCTCTCGCTGCCACTGTTTCTGCCACTGTCCTCGCTGCCACTGGTTCCTGCTGCTTTCGCTCTATCAGCTAATCTCCATTCCTCAGTCTATTCACCAGGGTCTATGTCCCTCTTGTCTCACGCCCTCTTTCCCTCTTTTCCTGCCTCGTCTACATCCTCCCCTTCCCGCAGCCCAACTGTGCTCCTTCTCTTTCTCTCGCACACGCACTGTATGTCTGTCTGTCTGCTGCTAGCGCTTCTGCTCTGCATGTCTTATGGACCTTTCTTCTGCTTGCGCGCCTGGCGCGAGCCTTCGTACGAGCCGGGGGGAGGAGGGGGAGGAGGGGGAGGAGGGGAGGAAGGGGGAGGAGGGGGAGGAGGGAGGAGGACCTGCTTCTCCCTCTCCTCTTGAAGCAGGAGCTTCTGGCTGCGGAGTAGGTCGGTCCCCCACAGCGCACGGGCGCTGGAGGCGTGCGCTCCCCTTGCAAAATATGTGTCTGTCTGTCTGTCTGTCTGTCTGCCTGCCTGTCTGTCTGTCGGGCGGCCTGCCTGCCTGCCTGCCTGCCTGTCTGTCTTGCGGCCTTTCTGCCTGCCTGCCGGCCTCCTTGCCTCTCTCTCTCTCTTTTTTTTTTTTTTTTTTTTTTTTTTTCTCTCTCTCTCTCTCTCTTTTTCCCCCCCCCCTCTCTCCCTTTCTCTCTTGTCCTTCTCTCTCCCTCTCTCGCCCACTTCCGCCCTCCCTCTCTGTTCCGCAGTAGAAGGCATCCACATATTCCGTTCTTGTGCGCACAAGAGCCGTTCACTCTTGTACGCACAATCGAAGGCTCGCACCAGAGCCGAAGGCTCTCCTCGCTTCGCCTCAATCCTGGTCTGAATGCCTCGCTGGGTGCGACGCGTTGCGGACAGACGCGGGGCCGCCAGAAGCACACGAGGGGGGGCGCGGAGTGCGACGAGACTTTTTGGGGGGCCGAGCTGCGACCGTGGCGGGCGATGCAGGCGACTGCCTTTCCATGCCGGGGGCCGCCGCGAGGCGGGCACGGCGCACGGGCAGACGGTTGGCGACGTCCGACGGGGCAGGGACGCGACGAGCCCAGGCAGCGAGAGCGCGCCGAGCCCCCCGGGGTGGCGGCCGCGCGGGGACGCCGCCCGTGCGGGAGGGCGTGCCACGGGCGGCGAGCACCGAGGCAGCACGCGGTGGCCACCTCGCGGGCGAGCGGAGTCGGGGCGCTCACCGCGCTGGCGCGGCCCCCCGCCGAGCTCGACGGCGGCGCGGCGTTTCGCCAAGCTCGATGGTGTTTGTTCTCTTGCGCAGTTCGACTAGACGTAAGAGTGACCTTTCGCCGGAGTGACCTTTGGTGCGGGCACAGATGGGTCCCCAGATGGCTGAACACGAAGCAGGAGCAGCGGCTTGAGCGCCCAGGTTTGGTCCCCCCGCGGCCCCCAAAAAGCCGCGCACCAAAGGTCACTCTTACCCAGGGTCACTCTTGCGTGTAGCCGAGCAGTTGTGCGATAGAGCTCCCAGTTGTCAAACCTCTTCCTCCGCCGTCTCTGTGCCGCCGCCGCCGCCGCCTGCTGGCACGCCGTATGGCGTGTCCGCAGCCGCTTTCGTGAGGATCCAGCCGGCACCGCGGGCCACCTGCGCGTGTGAAAAGAGGGGTGCGCACCGGGTCGTCGCCGTGTCGTCGTCTCTCCTTCGGTTGTCCAGGCAGCATCTGACCGCCCTCCCTTTCGGTTCTCCCGGCAGCATCTGGGCATCTGGGCGCCCTTCGGTTGTCCAGGCAGCCGTCTGCAAGGCTCGTCGGAGGCGTTCATAAGGTCCCAGAAGCCGTGCAGGGGCGAGCAGGAAATCAAATATGCCCGAGGTTCGGGGGGTCTAGGATCCAGGGTGGGAGGGTGGTGGCGCCTGGCAACAGGAAGTGAATATATCAACCTGACGTGTGTGTACATAGAAGCTGGTGGTAGCCAGGGCCCGTGGCGCCCACATTTTTCACCGTGCCTTCCAGCAGCGCGCATGCACCACAGTTTTGTGCATTTATTCGGGGAGTCGCGTGAGCAGCTGTGGAGAGTGTTTAACAGCAGAGATGTGCCATGAAAGAGCGTTTCGCCCCCCGCTGTTTTCGGTGATCGCTTCTCTCTGGAGTGTTCCGGCCCAAAGGCAGACACAGGGCCACAGGGCGCGATTGTTCGGCAGCGGTGACCGTCGTGCCGTGCCATTTTGTTCTGGAGGTTGGAAGAGGGGTATGGCATGAAGGGGTGTGGTGCCAATCGCGGACATGGCGATACTATCTACGATAGATCACCTCGCCATATCCATCTTTGGCACCACACCCCTACACGCACTATTCTAACTCCATAGTTGTTTTTCTGAGTTCCTGACGGCCTGTGCCACCGACCCTGAAAGACCTCGACGACGACCAGGAGGGGGAGGAATACGAGGAGGAGGAGGACGAGGAGGAGGAGGAGGAGGAGGAGGAGGAGGAGGAGCAGGCGGAGAAGGGGGAGAAGGAGGAGGAAAAGGACTCCCCCCTGGGACCCCCCGTCCCTTGGGACGAGGACCTGAGGAGGACCGGCGTGGGAGAGGGGAGAGGGGGGGAGGAGGATCCCCGGGGACGGATGCGTATCTGACCCCCCTCCCCCCCCTGGGACTCCCCCCCGCCCAGGGAGGAAGACCCGAGGAGAACCGGGGCGCCAGGGACCGGCGTGGGAGAGGAGGGCCCCCAGAGGCGATGCGAATCTGAGCCCCCCCCCCCTTGACCCCCCCCCCGCCGGGGAAGGGACAAAGGGAAGGGGCTTCCCTTTGACGTACTGAGAACGTGGATGGAATTTCCTCAAGCTGCGAACCCGTTCCACGAATCAGGAAGGATGCTCTCTCCCTCCCCCGAAGGGAGGGGACGAAAAAACGCCCCGCGTCGACAGAACTGTACATACACCCCACACGCCGACAGGGTCGGCGGATTTTCTACCAGGGGGAAGTCGACTTCGAACGTGCTGACAAAACATCACGACCCCCGGTCTTGGGAATAGCTACCCGTGGTGAAAAAAACATGTCCCTTAGAAGGGGTCGGGAGCTCCAGGGACCGCGTGTTGAAACACAAGGAAAGAGCGTTTGGCTGTTAGGTATTCACCTTTCCCCGCGGTGCACGTTGCAAGCCTGGACCCCTCCCCAGACACTTTGCATGCAGAGGGGGTCATTCATGCCCTCCCCTGGCGCCTGCAAGCGACGACGACCCCGACGTTCCGCCTCACTAGTCCGCCCGCCCGACTGCAGCATTTCCCGCCCGCCGACCAGCCCGTCCGTCTTAATGTCCTGCCCGACCGATCCACCCACCGGCTCTAATGCCCCGCCTGCGTCGTTGCCTCCTCGTCGACGGTCGTCACAGTCGTTGTCGTCGTCGGGTGTCGCTGTCGTTGTCGTCGTCGGCGGCGATGGCGGCGGCAGTGGTGTTGGCGTCGGCTGCGTCGGCATCGTTGCCGTTGTTTGCCAGCGCGCGGGGGGGTCTGGATCCCCTTTCCTTGCATTGGTGGTTGGCGTGGTGATCGGATTTCTATCCCCCCCTTGCCTGTGTGTGTGTGCGTGTGTGTGTGTGTGTGTGTGTGTGTGTGTGTGTGTGTGTGTGTGTGTGTGCGTGCGTGTGTGTGTGTGTGTGTGTGTGTGTGTGTGCGTGTGTGTGTGTGTGTGTGTGTGTGTGTGTGTGTGCGTGTGTGTGTGTGTGTGCGTGTGTGTGTGTGTGTGTGTGTGTGTGTTCGGGCGACGAAATCTATACATATCCCCTGCTCCTTGGCTAGGCCTATCCTGGGCCCAGGAGCTGTGTATAAACCCCGGCCAAGCCAGGAGGGCGTACACACCGCTGCTGGGTTCAGCATAGGCCTGGCCAGGGAGCAGGGATCTGCATGGATGTTGTCGCCCTATGTGTGTGTGTGTGTGTGCGTGTGTGCGTGTGTGTGCGCGTGTGTGTGTGTGTGTGTGTGTGCGTGTGTGCGTGTGTGTGTGTGTGTGATCGGTGTGCGTGGGGGGGTGATTGGTGCCCGGGCGGGGTGGGAGAGGGGCGGGCGCCCGTGGAGTGCGCCCAGATGAAGACGTCGGGCGTCTCATGATGCGGACGTGGGGGGGAGTCGGATGATGGACATGATCGGAGCCGGAGAGGGAGGCGGAGGAGGAGGAGGAGGAGGAGGAGGCGGAGGAGGAGGAGGAGGAGGAGGAGGAGGAGTAGGAGGAGGAGGAGGAGGAGCAGGAGGAGGAGGAGGAAGAGGAGGAGGAGGATAATAATGACGAGAAACACAGGCTCGCACACCATACCAAGTGGTGTCTCTCTAGCTTGCATGCCTGTTGATGCGACCTGGCTCCAGAAAATCCCTCCCCTGGGCAGGAGCAGAAGATCATCGAGTACAGGGAGGCCAAGGAGCTCCGCGAGAGGGAGATGGAGGCAGAGAAGGCCGTGCCTCTCTTGAGCAGGGAGCACAGGGACCAGGGCTGTCCACGATTCGGCCTGTGATTCGATGAGGGGGGCTTACATCTGGGCTTGGCAGCGATCGATTTGATTACGCACCGTGAAGAGCGATTCGCGCCATCCGCGGGGGGCTTTTGATTCGATCGGCTCGATCATGCAAGCGAGCCGACGGGCTCCACCGTAGGCCCCAGTGGCTGCTTTCCCATGCGCCCGCACCCATTTCGGCATACCCCTCACACCTGTCGTGGCCCGGTAGGGAGCTTCCCACCGAAAGCCCCGGTGGCTACGTTCGCACTCGCTCGCCGCATCCATTTCTGCACATCATACGTTTCGTGGCCCCATCAGGAGCTCCACCGAAGGCCACAGCGGCTGCGTTCGCCTGCGCTCGCCGCACCCATTCCGGCACAGCCCTCACACGTACGTTTCGTGGTCTCATAGGAAGCTCCACCGAAGGCCCTAGTTGCCGCGTTCGCATGCGCCCGCCGCGCCCATTTTGGCACGCCTCTCACACGTTGCGTGGCCTCATAGGGAGCTCCACCGAAGGCTCCGGTGGCTGCGTTCGCATGCACCCGCCGTACCCATTTCAGCACACCCCTCTCACGTTTCGTGGCCCCATATGGAGCTCCACCAAAGGCCCCAGTGGTTGCGTTCCCGTGCGCCCGCCGCCTTCATTTCGGTGCACCCCATACAGTTCGTGGCACCATCGTGAGCTTTCCATCGAACGCCCCAGTGGCTACATTCGCACGCGCTCGCCGCACCCATTTCAGCACACCCCTTCACACGTTTCGTGGCCCCATAGGGAGCTGCAGCGAATGCCCAAGTGGCTGCGTTCGCATGCGCCCGCCGCGCCCATTGAGGCACCCGTTACGTTTCGTGTTCCCGTAGGGCGCTGCACTGACGGCCCCAGTGACTGCGTTCGCATGCGTCCGCCGCCCACCCTGTCCAGCGCTTCGAGGACCCATAGGGGGCTCCACCGCATCAAACTGGCGACGTTCGCATGCGTCCGCCCCGCTCTGTACAACGCGTCGTGGCCCCAATAGGAACTCCACTGAAGGCCCCAACGGCGACGTTCGCATGTGTCCGCCCACCCAGTGCAGCGTTTCGCGCACCCGTAACCGAGGAGCTCATCTAAAGGAGCTAGTATTCTGGGTGGCCCATCCAGAGCATGTCGCACATATCGCATCTCCACTCAACAGACGGGAGCTATAGGAATTTACACGGTGGGTGCTGCGCAAACTCCAGGAGGGGTTGGGTTGCTCAGGGCGCTTAGTCAAGCGGAGACCGGGTTCTCCTTTCGACTGGCTACCTCGCGATGGCGGGATAGCTTTGCCCGCCGCAGTGCGCGCGCCGGTGCGGGCGTGCGTAGCTCATAGAGCCCAATATCTTGTAGCCTGCCGCAGTTCGCGCGCTTGTGCGTGCTGAGCTCATAGGTTCTTGCTGTGTGGGTTCTCTCAACCTCTATAGTTTACCTTGCGCTACGAGGCCCCGCGGCAGCAGGTTGAAGCCCTCGTTTCAAAGGAACTGCGAGTCGGTATCAAAGATATTCCCGGAAAGGGCTCCGTCCCAGGGTTCTCTTTTAGTTGGTTTACCCTCCGGTTTTGACTTGAATGGGGCGGGCGGAATTATTTGCGATAAATAACGATTCCGAAGAGTGCCGGCGGAATTATTATTGAGAATGTCTCCAGCGAAACGCTTGTTTTCAGAAATTGTTGAGAATGT